ATATATTATATACTCATAAAATAAAATAATTACTACCTTAAATATGTATATAATTTTTTGTTTTACTTTTGCCTGGAAATATATACACATATCTTCTGATATATCGCATATGTAGTGTTAATTTCCTCTTTGAAGGCTTAGTTCATTTTGCGCTTTCGACATTTATGCTAATAGTCTTGTATTTTTGCTAATCATTCTTTGCTCGCTTTAAAGGTTAGTTCTCGACACTTACTGCCTTCAGTATTGGGTTTTCTCACTGCATCAGTAACCAGCTCCATTAAATCGCAAGTTTTGGTCAATATGTCACTTGAACAATCAGTTTATTAGGTGTATATTTATATGCACTAAATATATCTATAGTATATATAGATCCTCTATACACTTTATCGTGAAACGCCGTTCTAGCTTGGACACGACCGTCGCATTGAAGTCGAAACGTTACAATGATATTGAAATGCTCGCACGGCAAGTGAAATCCAGAACTCAGAAGTATGGGATCAAAGGTGTAGCACGTCTCTCTCCAGGTGAGTACTGAAAAACGTTTTCGAATCGAATAACACTCTCGTCGCATTATTAAGCCCAATACAAAGTTTCTGTAATGAGCGTATTTGACTTTTATATAGAACTAAACTCAACTCAAAATATGTAGAAACAAGTAAGACTAAAAAACGAGAAATAAATAAGGTGAACATTGAATAATAAGAAAATTCCCTGTGTCTTGAATAACTATTACGTGAAGCGAAGTAAAACTGCGCTCTGTTGTTATACACAAGAAGAGAATTTCGAAAATCTACTTTAAATTGATCGGATGATTATTCTCTTAAGAGCTCAATTTAATTACGTTTAGCTTTTTGAGTAGCTCATTCTTAGAACCTTTCTCTTCAACTCTTATTCCATTCAAGCATATATTGTGGGGTTAATATACCTTTGACGATGTCGCTCACCCCGATCATTTTTAATGTCTTCCGACATACTTTAATATTTTCCATGACAATGTTTTCAAATTGAATGCTTTTACATATAAAAGTAATTTATTGTTTCTTCTTATTCCTTCTGTATCTAACTTTTTGTAATTAACGTTGATATTTTACAAAAATAATATATAAGTTTTATTCGTCGATTATTTCTTCTTTTTATCCTTCTTGGATTTCTTAGCTGGTGGCTGTGCATTAGCTGGTGGGACCACCTCCGTTGTTGTTTCAACACTAAATCCCTTGATGTACGGTTTCACCAGCTTGAACACCAGTTTCTCATGCTGTACGTTGGTCGAGTCTAGACTCAACCTAACAGTGACGGGATCAAAGGAATGGAAAATCACATTGCCACACCGTTGCGTGTGGTCTTCCTCATTGAATGTGAATATGACTTCGCTCTTAGTGCGCTCCAAGCCGTCCTTGCCATCCTTATCGCTTTTCAGATACAGAGTGCCCTCCAGCCCGTACTTGGGTATAAGAACCTGCAATGCGTTCTTCCGTACGAACAAGACATAACTGAAAAACTTTCATTTAAATATAAGTTCGACACAATTTCTTATTAACAACATACCCTTCCTCATCCTCCTCCTTTCCACGGAAGAACAAATGTGTATTAAGTGCAACTGATGCGCGACCAGCGTATTGCGCCATTTTGTGKCGGTAATTCAAATTGTTGCAGATCTCTTCATTGGACTTGCGGTCTAGCAACTGGGCATAGGTACTGTCTGCGCCTATGGAGGCTGCCAATAGGCGATGCACCATTATATCCGAGTACCGACGAATGGGTGAGGTGAAATGAGTGTAAATTTCGGCGGCCAAGCCATAATGGAAGAACTCTTCCTTTTGCAGGCTTCCACTTATGAAATACACAGCCTGCATCATGCATCGTGTGGCTAAGATGCGTATCATCGTGTTGAAATAAGGATTGTCGGCCTTGACACATTTATCCAGTGAATGCGCCAGTTCTAGCCCGGTATCCGTGACCACCTCGAAGCCCTGATAGCGGGCTGCTTTTATTAGCGGATCAAAGTTTGTATTTGGGGGCTTCGGGTGACGACGCAAGACTGCGCACTCCGTGAACTCTGCAGCAATATGCTGAGCCACGCTTATATTTGCCAGCAACATGAACTCTTCGACCATTGAGTTGGTATCGCGCATTTGCTTGGCTTCAACCTCAAGCGGCTCATGCGTTTCACTATCCACTTGAAAKCGAATCTCGGGCGATGCTAAMACTAGAGCACTATAGAAGAAATGAAAATKTAGCTATTTTAAGAACACATAGATGCTATTAGACATCATACCCGTTGTCCATACGCCGCTTTTTTAGTATTTTGGCCAGTCTATTCAGATGACGCAGCGATTTGGCGATTTCGCCCGTTTGTGCTTCATCATCGATAATTGCCTGTGCCTCCTCATAGGTCATGGCACGCTTTGACTTGATGACACTCTTGTGAAAACGCTTAGCCAAAATGTTCGCTTGATGATCTACTTCCCACACAACGGAGAAGGCAAAGCGTTCCTCGCCGCCAACCAACGAGCAAAGGTTCGAGCTTAACAACTCCGGCACCATATCGATGCGCTTGCCAACCAGGTAAACTGTTGTGCCACGCGCGGCAGCTTCTTTGTCCAACGCATTGCCTGGTCGTATGAAATGGCTCACATCGGCAATATGCACGCCCACCTCCAAATTTCCGTTGGGCAGCTCGCGGCAATGGAGGGCATCGTCAATGTCCGTGCAACCAGGCGGATCTACAGAGCAAATATACAAATCGCGTAAGTCTACGCGCTTAGCATAGTCCTCTTCGGTAATAGTNCATTGCCACACCGTTGCGTGTGGTCTTCCTCATTGAATGTGAATATGACTTCGCTCTTAGTGCGCTCCAAGCCGTCCTTGCCATCCTTATCGCTTTTCAGATACAGAGTGCCCTCCAGCCCGTACTTGGGTATAAGAACCTGCAATGCGTTCTTCCGTACGAACAAGACATAACTGAAAAACTTTCATTTAAATATAAGTTCGACACAATTTCTTATTAACAACATACCCTTCCTCATCCTCCTCCTTTCCACGGAAGAACAAATGTGTATTAAGTGCAACTGATGCGCGACCAGCGTATTGCGCCATTTTGTGKCGGTAATTCAAATTGTTGCAGATCTCTTCATTGGACTTGCGGTCTAGCAACTGGGCATAGGTACTGTCTGCGCCTATGGAGGCTGCCAATAGGCGATGCACCATTATATCCGAGTACCGACGAATGGGTGAGGTGAAATGAGTGTAAATTTCGGCGGCCAAGCCATAATGGAAGAACTCTTCCTTTTGCAGGCTTCCACTTATGAAATACACAGCCTGCATCATGCATCGTGTGGCTAAGATGCGTATCATCGTGTTGAAATAAGGATTGTCGGCCTTGACACATTTATCCAGTGAATGCGCCAGTTCTAGCCCGGTATCCGTGACCACCTCGAAGCCCTGATAGCGGGCTGCTTTTATTAGCGGATCAAAGTTTGTATTTGGGGGCTTCGGGTGACGACGCAAGACTGCGCACTCCGTGAACTCTGCAGCAATATGCTGAGCCACGCTTATATTTGCCAGCAACATGAACTCTTCGACCATTGAGTTGGTATCGCGCATTTGCTTGGCTTCAACCTCAAGCGGCTCATGCGTTTCACTATCCACTTGAAAKCGAATCTCGGGCGATGCTAAMACTAGAGCACTATAGAAGAAATGAAAATKTAGCTATTTTAAGAACACATAGATGCTATTAGACATCATACCCGTTGTCCATACGCCGCTTTTTTAGTATTTTGGCCAGTCTATTCAGATGACGCAGCGATTTGGCGATTTCGCCCGTTTGTGCTTCATCATCGATAATTGCCTGTGCCTCCTCATAGGTCATGGCACGCTTTGACTTGATGACACTCTTGTGAAAACGCTTAGCCAAAATGTTCGCTTGATGATCTACTTCCCACACAACGGAGAAGGCAAAGCGTTCCTCGCCGCCAACCAACGAGCAAAGGTTCGAGCTTAACAACTCCGGCACCATATCGATGCGCTTGCCAACCAGGTAAACTGTTGTGCCACGCGCGGCAGCTTCTTTGTCCAACGCATTGCCTGGTCGTATGAAATGGCTCACATCGGCAATATGCACGCCCACCTCYAAATTTCCRTTGGGCAGCTCGCGGCAATGGAGGGCATCGTCAATGTCCGTGCAACCAGGCGGATCTACAGAGCAAATATACAAATCGCGTAAGTCTACGCGCTTAGCATAGTCCTCTTCGGTAATAGTCCACGGCATTTTGGGCAAGAAACTGAGAACCTCTTCAGAGAACTTGCAGTGCGGCACATCGTGCTCAAGCAAGATCACTTCATTCTCGGTGGCCATGTTGCCCAGTGGCCCCAGGGATCGCACAAAGTGGCCATGCGGATACCGCGAGTTCCTTGGCCAACTATCDATGGTCACAACGATGCGTTGGTTTTGCAGTTTAGCTGCTTGGCGCGTTTCTATACGTATGCGCGGGATCTTACGATCGGCGGGCACAAAGATRTGYCGTGTCGTATCCTCGATGAGGCTGGGCTGTAGAATGCCACAATACTGACGCCACTTGCGACGCACAATACCAACGATGCGACCAGTGGGAGTGCGTTCCTCAACTGGTGCAGCTTGCAATTGCTGCAGCATTTCCATCTCCTCTTCTTCGCGCTCTTCACTGGGCAMGTCGTCTGCATACACATTTTTCTCCTCCAACACTATCTCACTAGGCGCTGACCATTCACTTTCAGGCAATAATTCGACGGCAACAATGTCTCCATCCACAGCACGATTAAGAGACTCGCGCCCTTGTATTAAAATCTATAAATTATAATACATTAAAATTGCATAATGAGAGTCGAAAGATGGCATTATCTAAAGAAACAATTGCCTTACGCCTTTCTCATAGCTCTCCACGTTGACATTGCCTTCGAGATAGTTCTCCCTGGATGCCTGGAATGAACCTTGCAGTAGCTTTTTGTGGCGCAGTCCCTCAAGTATTTCTTTCATACTTAAATGCGGTGGATATTGGGGCAACGCTTGTTTCTCATTTTCAAATGTCTTTTGGGACAACTTGTCGACCAGCAAGGGATAGTCCTCAAGCGATTTAACATAGTCCGCAGCAGTTGCTACTAAAATACCCTCAGCTTCGGCTTTGGCACGATTGCCAGCATCGTCGGTCAGGAGTACAACGCGTGTGACTGTGCGTCCACTGCGCTCGAAGACTTTCGAGTCTTGGGAGGTTTGTAGATGAGAATCGTACCATTTGGCAGCCAGGCGTATGGCGCGATCATTGCGATCGTTAGCGCTTTCATCCGGCTCGCGGTCGGCATAGGTGTCCCTAGTGAGTATAAAATTAATGTGATTCTCGTTAAGTACCTAATAAGCTTTACTCACTTATGATGTTCATTGACAAACACATAGAAGTTGCGTTTGCGATCGTGAATAATCTCATTGAAACGCTTATAAATGGATGAGCTCTTGTGCTTAACCTCGTTCAGCACCGTGGTGAGGACGATGACATTGCGCAGCACATCCTCTTCGAGCACATCGATTTGGTCCAAGACCACGTTGGTATCCAAAACAATATAGTGCGGAAATTTGAAAAGGCTGCTCTTAACATCGTGATTCGATGTCAACTGGTAGACCTCATTTTGGAAACAATACTGACAGAGGTCTGAGCCGCAACCAATGTCATCGCGAAGATAATGCTCTCTAACAATCTTCAATATGTTACCGCGTTTAGTTTTACGCGTAAATTCGCGTAAAGTCTGCATGTTTATAGTAAAACAAAGTAACCCTACAATTAAGCAGCGTGCCGGAGCAAAATGTCCCATGCACGTTCAATCAGTGTACGATAACAATACCAAGCTTCATACAGCCTTCGAATTTAATTAGAATATTTGCTTGGGGAAAATAAATATTTTTTAAATATTTTCAAGCACTGATTTTATTGAATATACCATCCAATTATAATCTATATTACCATCTAAGGCTTATTAATTTTTTTATTAAATCGATCAATCATTTGCTTTTTATAATTGTTGCATCTTTTGTATTTTGCAGCACTTATTCATCGACCATTGCGCAACACTACTATTGCATTTGTGTTGAGAAGTCCAGCACGTGTACGGGGCACATTGCGGTGTTTCGTTTAAATAATTTAGCGTTCACTACGTAGTCTTTGGGATGGGTTCGAATGAGAAAAGCTTTCCGCGCGGCGGAATAGCAAATTTACAAGCAAATACGGAYAGCAGCACATCAAATCTCGTAAGTAATAGTGGCAGAGAGTCATCCAAAATCTAATTCTGAGTTTTGCGACCTGCAGATTTTTGGTGCCACACAGCGAAAGATTAAGAAGGCGCCAAAGTTAAAAGAAAAACCASWTGAAGGGGAAAAAGGTGATCAGCTGCAAGCATTCTCYGCTGAAACACTTACATATGACACGCTCCAGGAGAATATGCTCGTGATGGGCGTCGTGAAAGCAACGGATGCCACCTCTTTACAAATTGCGCTGCCCGGTCGAATGACAGCGCGTGCTYTAGTGGCCGATATATCGGATGCATATGGACGTGTTGCCCAATCCTATATGGCTGGAGACAGCAGTGAATATCGGGACCTCACTGCGCTATTCAACGTTGGGCAGATCGTTTATGGACGAGCCATAAAAACAAGGAAAGACTCCGAGAGTAAACGCATGTCTCTGCTACTAACTCTTAAACCCAGTGAAGTGAATAGTAGCCTTCACCACGCCAACATCAAAAAGGGCTTTATTTTTGTTGGTGCTATAGAGGAAATCCAAGAGCACGGCTGTGTAATTGAAACAGGCATTAGCGGATTGCAGGCGTTTGTACCCATTGAAAATGCTGCACAGAAGCATCACATCGGTCAGTTGATCTTCTTGAAAGTGAAGCAAATTCAACACGATTCCGATAAAAGCACCTGTCAATGCGTGTGCATAGAACAGGATAAATTGAAGATTAAAAGTCAGCACGAGACAAATCTTGATTATATACTTCCCGGGAGTATCGTCAAGTTTAAGGTGACAAAACATCTAAAAAATGGACTGGAAGGCAGCATCATGAACGAGGCCTTTAGGGGATACGTAAACGAGCATCACTTGGCCGAGGCTCTGCAATCGCCGCAGGACTACGAGGTGAACGAAGAGTACCTGGCTCGGCTCCTCTACGTGATGCCCTTAACTAAGCTGGTATACCTGACTTTCAATTTAAATATCACTGTGCATCCCGAACAGCCGGAATCGGAAGGCGAAGAGCTGCTGAAGAAGGGCAGCATCGTGGAGAAGGCACGTGTGCTGCGCCATGGCACAGGTGGCATTGTGGTGCTGCTGAACCACAAGTATAAGGGGCTTATTTCGTATGGTTCCATCAAATCGAACTTCAAGGGAAACTACGACCAGGACGTTGTGCTGGCCAAGTACAGCAGCAAGAGCAAGCACAAGGTGCGAGTGCTGGGATATGATGTAATTGAGTCTCTTTACTATTGCACCGATGATCCCAACGTGGTGAATGAAAAGATGTACACGCTGGAGGACATTCAAACAGGCGACATTGTTTCAGCTCGCATTGTGAAGCCAGATCCCAAAATCGGCGGTTACAGTGTTAAAATAGGGAAAGTTAACGGAATCATTGAGCAACTGCAATTGGCCCCAAATACGCGCTACGAAGTAGGACAGCGCCTGCGTTGCCGAGTCTTAGAGATCTCCCTGGACCGGAAGATTTGTTATTTGAGCAATCGCAACGAGTATCTAAGCAAGGGTATCAAGCTACTGACTTCACTGCAGTTAGCTCAGCCCGGGCACGTATTTACAGGCACCGTGGTCAAGTGCGAGGCCACCTATGTGCTGGTCAAGTTCTGCGGCGGCATCAAGGGAGTTTTACACAAGCAGCGCCTGAACGAATTGGTGGAGAATACATTTTTCGAAGGCCAGACTACAAAGTTTCGCGTTTCTGGCCGGAACAACGACCAAGTACTTCTAACATTGCCCGAGGACAAGTTTCAGCTTGGCGAAATAATTCCCATTGAAGTGACCAATAATACCTTGGATGCAGGCTTGGAATTTAAAATAACTTTAGCTACTGATGATCAGAATGCAGCCACGACTGGTGATGAGGACAATACGGAGGAGTTTGTGGGTCTGGTACCACTACGTTTCCTATCGGACTACGTGGACTTGCAGGAAGCAAAGAAGCGCATTCATCCCGTTGGCAATCATATCGAAGCAGCCTGCATCTTGCAGAACATTTTCAGTTTACGCGATGTGCCGTACTTCAGTGAGAATCTGACCAAGGATTGGCATACCGTTCAGGTGGGCGATGTGCTGCGGGCCAATGTTAAGCATGCGGGCGAACAGGTGCTGGAGCTACTGCTGCCCGTGCGCAACTATAACAAACTGGTTAAATTGCACGTGAAGATGTTGTGTCTGCAGACCGTGCGGGATAAGCCCATCATGCTTGAGCCTGATCAGCTGCTGTATGTTAAGGTGCTCAGCAAGGAATTGGAGACTAAAACGTTGACTGTGTCCGCCAAACTAACAGATGTGTGGASCGGCCAGCTGTCCGACACAGCAAAATTAGTGGAGAGGTAAGATATACCTATTTTCCTAATTGCTATTGGTATTAACTGCATAATCCTTTCAGCTACTTAGAGGAAGTGTCACAGATTCGAAAATCATTGAAACACATGGATGCACCTATTGCCAAATACACAAGGGGGGACAAAATTAACGTCATCTTTAAGGGAATTGATTCGACGACCAGTAACTGGGTCTATAATGTGGAGGGCACAAAATCGATCAGAGCAATGATGATTTCCAGCTTGGCTGTCAATGCGACAGCACCTCAGGAGGGCAGTAAGCAGGAGGCCGTCATCTTGTGGATAGACTATGCCAATGATTTGTTGCTAATAAGCAACAAGAAAAAGGATATTGAGCACATCAGCAGCAGCAAGGAGCTGCCTCAAAATTTAATCGCAAAAGCCGGCATGAAGGCCAAGGTATTGCTGAAACTCGATAATATTGTGGTGTGCTCCTTGAAGAAGGGTACCAGCAATCCGCTGATACTCTGTCCAATACGCCTGCATCCCAACGATGTGGAGAACACAGCCAGTGCCTGTCTACGGCAGGGTGATTTCTGTAATCTGGCATTCATACACGACAGCCTGCCGATTGCCGTGCCAGAGACCGTCTGGAAGCTTTGGAAGGGTGTCAAGCGCCCTGCTGTTGAAGCTGAAGAGACGGCCGTGAAGCCCAAGAAGATGAAGATCGAAAATAATTCAAAAAAATCAAGTCTACAGAAAGTCACAAATGGGAAAAAAACTGAGGAGGAAGCGAAGCCGCTGGTGAACGGAAAGAAAAAGAACGGACAGCTTTTCTTCGAGGACAAGAAACCAGCCAAGACAAATACGTATAAGTCCAATGCAACAAGTGAGGCAGCAGTCAAGGTGCGTCTGCCAGGCATCTCGAACTTCTGGGACACAGATGCATTGAACAACAAGAGCCAAGAGGAGTCATCCAGCGACGAAGATGACCACAATGCAGCTGACGGGGCCGAGCCAAGCTCTAGCAAGAAAAAACGACTTAGTGCCAAGGAAAAGGCGAAGGCTGAGGTCAAGGAAGAGGAACGATTGCGCGAAATCGAAGAGCGCAATGCAGATCCCAATCAGCGCCCAGAAACAATCGATCAGTTCGAACGTCTGGTGCTAGCGGAGCCCAACGACAGCAAAACCTGGATTCAGTATATGTCCTTCATGTTGTCAAATACAGAAATTGACAAAGCTCGCGAAATAGCGCGACGCGCCATTAAAACGATAGCGTTCCGGGAAACAAAAGAACTTCGTAACATGTGGATGGCACTTCTTAACTTGGAGCTCAGCTACAACTCGTCCAATTTCGATGATGTACTAAAGGAGGCACTGAGTCACACAGATCCACTTGAAACATACATAAAGCTCGTCGAAGTACTGAAGGCGCACAATCAGAAGGAGCGCCTGATCAGCGTATTAAACAACTTAATGCGCAAGTTTAAGTCAGATTTGCAGGTCTGGCGTGTGGCTGCCGATGCGTACTTCTGGCTGGGCATGCCGGAACGGGTGCAGCCAACACTGCAGCGTGCGATCAACGTACTACCGAAAAATGAACGTAAGTTTCTATTAATTAGAGGAACGATTTACTAATTTTGGTATTAATATAATTTTAAAATAACAATTTTCGATTGCTTTTTCTCCAGACATAAATTGCATTGTGGCCTTTGCCAAAATATATGCCAAAAACAATGATAATGGCATGGCACAAACTTTATTAGATGACATAGTTACTTCCTATCCGAAGCGAATTGATATTTGGGTGCTATACGCCGACATGTTGATCAAAGCTGGACTTATTGATTCCGCACGGTATGAAAGTCAATCTGAATTAAATCTATGCTTTTACCAACTGATTTGAATCCTATTTACAGAAACTTGATGGAACGTGCAGTGCTTCAAAAGTTGCAGCCGGATAAAATGCTTGTTATCTACAAGAAGTTTTTGGATTTAGAAGAGAAGCACGGAACAGAAGAAAATGCGGCCAGGGTTAAGAAACTAGCCGAACAATACGTTCAGAGTCAAAACAAATCCCTTAAATAGATTACAAAACGAATTGGATCTGCTTCGATATAGTACCTTACCGCAATAAGAATTGTAGATTAAAATCACATAAGTGCAGCGTCCCCACTTAATGATGAAACTGAGAATGGCAATTACAGTCGGTCTGTTTTTTGTTGATACTTTATTCTAAGATCTATTTTAAATGAAGTGTGTGATTCTTGGATGCTAATGTTTTAAATATATGTATATTATATATATAGAAATACATACAGCTTGTTGCAGCAACATCAGTATTGCAGCTACATGATAATATGTAGCAGCAATGTTTGACGAGCGTGCGTCGGAAAATAATAATTAAAAATTTGAAACAATGCATGAAGGGCTTTGTGTTATATATAGTGAATATGGTTATACATGTGAACACGATTTCCTTAAGTCTAGTCTGGTGGTGGGGGCTTGCTAGCGGGTGAGGATGGCGGTACACAGGACACCTGACGTGTTACAATGACATTGAAATTACTCTTACACATTAATCAATAATAAGAAGCAAATGATAGAAAATGTAATTTGCTCATGCAATTATAATTAGTTTATACATAAAACAGTCTTGAGCGCAGCGCAGCTGAGCGCCCAATCTTAATCCTTAAATATGCCACGTGCCTTTGCTGATATCTTGCGCACACGCCCACGGCTGCTGACGCTCACTAGCTGCTCATCACTGTCTACCGTACTGCTGCCGTCATCATCATCTAGGCGGGGCTGTTGCTCGCGTTCCTGAGAGCTGTTATTGTTCGTCGTAGCTTGAGCATCACCGTTGCGCATGCGCTTCCGCTGGTTGGTTCCCTCTGGTTGGTCTTCCTCATCGGATTGCTCATTATAACGTGGACGCTTCTGATTACGGCCACTGCGCTGATTGCTACGAAGACGATTGGATCGCCCACGCGGAGCCTCATAGTCATCATCATCGTCATCGTTTACAGACTGATCAGAAGCGGCACGAGCACGACGACGTTGTCGCTGTTCACGTCCCTGCGTTGCAGTCGTTGCTGATGAAGATGAGGTTTTGGTTTTACGTCGTGTTCGTCCATTGCTGGGCGACACATAGCTAGTCAAGGGCTGATTGTCTTCAGAGTCTGTGGCAGTTGGTTCATTATCATCATCCTCRTCATTGCTACCCTGAGAACTGGAACCACCATCAGTGCCTTCGTCAGAGGCAGCGGCTTCCTCGTCTGGCGGCTCCGCCTCTTCCTCTTCACCCTGTGAGTGCTCCTGACTGGTGCGGGCGCGCAATCGACGTGTGCTTACATTATTTGTTGTAGAGGTGGGACGTCGGGGATTGGACATAAGAGATAATAGACGGGAATTATTCAGCGGATCAATGCTCGAGTCCAATTCATCTGCATTGCGCTGATGACGCGATAGTACGCGACGAGGTGCACGTGAAGCTGCCGCTGATTCATTGCCCAGATAGTTATGGTCATGCGCAGCCATTGCTGGCTCCTGTTGATTAGAGCTACTAGTTGTTGATGTGGCATGCGACCGCGTCATATGCGTGCTACGTGGCACCGAAGGTAAGCGTCGGCGCAACGTCAACGGATGCGGAGCTGTTGTGTTGGCTCTCGCAGGTCCAGTGGCAGTTTCTACAAAGCATTCGTGTAAGAGTATTTGAATGRTTTTCTATACTAAGACTATTCTTCGAAACTCACTTTGCTGGTTATTGGCTAAGGGTTCATTATCACTGTCATCGTCATCATCACTCTCAACAGCAACAGCTACAACGGTATTGCGATTCGTGCGCAGTTGCCGCGATGAAGTGGCAGCAGCTGCTTGACCTAAGGCAGCCCGACTAGTCGAGGGCATGTCGTCCTTTGTTGGCGTGGGTAATATCTGATAGTATATAATAATCAATGATTATTTACTTTTATTCGAGGCTCTGCAATTTAATTTGACAAAACTTACCTCTTCAGCCTCCTCGCTATCATCGTCATCATCCTCATCGATATCGCTGCCACGCGCCCAATCCATTAATGCACGTTTTGCACTCTGTCTGGTGGGTCGCCCAACTGGGCCATGAGAATCCGTATCTGAGTCAATAATACGACCATTGCGAACTGGCAGATGATAGCTGTGATCATTTTCAGCTGCATTTTGGGAGCGTGCTCCATTGGCACGCGTATTTCGTGAGGGGCTCTCAACACTGGAGCCGGCTGAAGCAGCAGCCGCACTAGTACTTGGCCCATTCCCAACGGCTGTTGAGCTCTTGCTCTTTGCTGGGCGACCTTTCTTGCGGGGTGTTTGACTGTCTTGAGTGCTATCATCTGGCTGGGAATGGGATGCTGCTGTGTGATTCTCATCTTCGGAGCTGCCGAGCAAACGACGGGTACGACGAGTGGTGGCCACAGCCCCACCACGACTTCCACCGGGCTGGCTATCCGGATCCGAGCGATGTCTTTTGTTGTTGTGTCTTCGCTTGCTATTAGCTTTACGCTTGTTACCGCCACCCGCACGACCGCGGCGCCGCTCATTTGGATTGTAGCTCTCTTCAGAATCATTGGCATTCGTCTCATCATCGCTGACATTCTGGCGCGCTGGACGTCCGCGACGGCGACGTGCCTGCTGTGGCGAGCTGTCATTGGAGTGCGCTTCTTCATCTTCATTTTCATCGCTGGTAGCATCCGGTGTTGTTTCCTCCTCTTCTTCCTCCTCATCGCTATCAGAATTGCTGCTGCTTTCATGGCGACGTTGCTGAGGATTGGACGATGATGATGTAACACGATTAGAGCTCGAACTAGCGGCAGGAGCGGCTACGCCATTGCGACGTCTATTGGCACGCTGCGACCCACGCGGCGCTTGTTGTTGTGCCACACTATCATCATCGTCATCGTCGTCGTCATCATCCTCATCCTCCTCGCTGCTGTGTGCTGGCAATCTTCTGGCAGCACCTGGCGGTTTCTGTGTACGTCGTGTGGCACGATCCGGTGGCGTTCGTTTGCTGGGACTGCTGGACCCGCGCCCGCTGCTACCCGATTTGTTCTTGTTGGCGCGTCTACGCGCTGCCTTCCAGCTGCTGATCACCGTCTTTATATGCGACTCGAAGAGCGCGCTTAAGCGCAGCGTCATTGCATAGATCTGCAAAAGAAACCCGATTCAATTAGTGAGAAGAGCAATTAAGAGAAGAGTGGAATGAAAGCAGTCAATTGCTGTTGTGTTGTGCTGAAGTAGTAGCCCAAGAGAAACCTTACCGCTAGATTATCCTATTTTAGTTGATTGTCACGGATCGTCATTCATTTGGTTTAGTTCGAAATATTTGATGGGTTTAGATTGATTCGATTGATGGTTTATGAGTTGGGTGGTGATTAATTTGAAGTTTGAAGGCATGTTAACAAATTGCAAAAGAAACGTTAAGAAGAGATGAGCCGGTGTGTGAGATTGTGTGGTGTTTAAGCAGTGCGGGAAATTGGGGACAGAACGAAAAAGAAATTGCAAAAACCAATATTCAAAAAAATATATTGAAATAACAAAAGATTGAAATGAAGAAATCATGTGTGAGAAAAATAGTCCACCAGTCTAAAATATCGTCAATCCATTGTATTTTCCGTTCTACTCAGTAAGTCCGAATGTAAAATAATCAATCATCAAAGCAAATCAAAGCAAACGTATTCTGTTAGCCTCAATATATAAGTGAATTAAAGGAAAAATGTATTAAATGAAAGCTCAGTAAGGACAGCAGGAGTAGGGAATATAAATATTGCAGTAATCATTAATTGAAACCCAAATAAAACAAAAAACAAATGTAAGAACAATTGAAGTTTAAACATATATAAAATTCAAACTACGCTGCCTCAAAGCAAATTTGGAAAAGTATTTGTTTGGCTATTATTAACGATTATATTAACCATTAAGAGGCAGTTGCAATAAAGCAATAAATTCTCTCATTCTATAAACGCCAATGACAATTGCGATTGATGCGCATTTGGCATTGGTTTGGAATAAATGACGATCTGCAGCAGTACCCAGATCCGACTAGAGGACTCACCCGTGAGCGTTTATTGGTGTTATAGTTCTTGGAATTAAGAAATATAAGGCGCACATCCTTGGCAAAATCCAGTGGATCATCGTAATTTCCGCCTAGCAGATCCTCTTTCACTGTACGCAGATCCATCGGTGTGGCAATGATTTCCAAATAATCTGGGAATTCAATCGTATCGACTGGCTCGCGAAAAGGCAATGAATCTGGCCTCTGCCACATCAGATCCAGCAGCTGGCGGCAGTCGGAACGCCAATCGCCATCTGAGCGTATGCGAGTCGAGCTGTATAAACAGTAAATTTGAATAAATAATTTATACAGCATTGGATTATGTTTGTTTTCATACCGCCGCGTCGACGAAACACGCTGGCGAGCAGCGGCTGCTGATGTCGTTGGACCAGTGCTGGTCGATGGAACAACATCTGAATCAGCTTCATTCTCCGACTCTGATGAGTGGTAAATGTCGACCAGCTGATGATAAACGGCCGCCACATCTATTTCATCGGGTTCCCTATTAGGTTTGGCAAATAAGCAAACGATTAGGTCTATTTAGAAAACACAAAACAAAAACATAAATATATTAAATGTTACTTACCTTATGATACGCAGGCACAGATCAGTCACAATACGGGCGTGCTTGACGATGCTGGTGTGGCGGCGATTATACTGCTCCGCATTAGTGGCCAAATATCGGACATCAAACTGAGCCGAAGTGATGCGACGGTAGAAATGGTTCTCGAAACGTGACTTGACTGTCGTTAAATCGATGGGATATTCAATTAAATACGCATAGTCTGGATATATATTGAGGTCGACTGGCGCCAGGAAGTGCTCCGCTATTGATAAACGCATCACCTGGAAAAAAAAAAAACAATTGAACAATAATTAATATATAATCATTTATATTATTCTTATAATTGTTTCCTAATATTTCTATTTCTCTAATAAATAGTAGGCAATGAGAACCGATGCTCTATTTTGGTACGAATACAATGGCAAGTCTCCAGTCGAAACTTATACGAAACACATCGGAGAGCATTAAAGTATTTAATATGATTTTTTAAAGGTTTGTATTCCTGTTAACAAAGTACTGCATATTTAATTTTAAGAATCTTTCCTACGGAATTCTTTATTTAAAATATTTTTGTTTTGATTGTTATGCCATTTAATTAACCTACAAGTGTATCCTCCTTT